ACTTCAGATATAATTCTTGTCACCAACGGCCTCAGTGCTGACCTAGGCTTTGGGAAATACTTGCACACTGCAACCTCCGCCCAGGGACTCTACACGAAGGCTTAAAAATGCACTAGGTCGTCAGCATCATATACCGGCCGCATCCGGAATCGTAAACAAAAGAGTGGATTTTTAAGTCCAGTAGCGTCAGACTGTATGCAAAGAAAAGCCAGTCATAAAGGTCATGGGGTAGTAGCTCACGTTCCGTTCGCGTCAAGATGCTGACAGCGATGGTTTTGACAGCGACCGCACGCACTCAGTCACTGATTGTGTTCAAGGTCATTACAAGGGTTCAAGAACTGTTTCTGAGGATCTGACTCATTCCGCTGTTTTGCGTATGAACGCAGGCCCCCTGAATAAATAACGTCAGGGCAAAGTACTAGAGTTTTTTAAACCAGAACAGTATATTCCCTATCTCGTGAAACCTCAATCCAAATTCTGAAATTTGTTGCCGATTCGAACATATTACTTAAGTAAGGTTTTACCATTTATAAGTATGCAGCGTAATCCCGTAATATTCAAGTCCCACCAGGATGCTGGCTTTTGAACGAGCTTAAATCACGCTTTAAAAAAATTGCTACTTAAGTGACATGCATTTTTCTCACTGGTGTTCACCACACTTATACATTCAAATATATTTTATAGATTTCATACACACACATATTATTTCTTCTATCCCTTTGATAGAAAAGTACGCCTTCGGAAAATTTGATATTTAAAGAAAGGGTATCTTTCGATTAAAAAAGTTTTTAATTATGAGGTCTCCTATGACTGTTATATTTTCCTTCATACTAAATCGTGTCTGTCTATTTACTAATGTTTATTATAAAATATATAACATAAACTACGTCCATGGACGGTACTTTGAGCACTATGAGGCCTCTTCCCCACATCGTAAGTATGCATATGCTTTCTTCTGGAAGGGGTTTACATAGAATTTCGTTTGCAACCCTCAAAGTCAAGTATAAAGGCTGATAGGTTTTAAAAATATTCCGCAATTTAGAAACTTTGTAGAACCGAAACATACCCTCTCTCGAAGTATGGAATTTAAAGCTTTTCCTTTTATCAAACAAGGTTAAGAAATAATATTTTTGGTGTGTTTTACTTGCAAAATATATTTGAATTTATAGGCTTTATAGGCTATATTCAGACGGCCACACGGCTCGTGCAAAAGCCAGCATCCTGATGTTGTTAAAATATATCGAGGTTAGAGTGTAAGCTTATCAGTATTACAACCCTACTTAATTAATTTGTTCTAATCGCGAACGCATTCCAAAATTGTGATTTACGTTTCATGAAATAGGAAATCTATGGTAGATAGTTTCGTGTCCATGTGAGGAAAACGTTGCACTGATGGTAATATCTTGGACTAACCTGAATAGTTATTGCCCATGCAAGCAAAAATGCGAGTCCCGGGAAGTAATCGAGGAAAAGTTTATTAATTGTCACAGGTATGCATTAGCATAGCGTCTGCATCCTATGAATACTGCGAATGCCTGTGTATGAATCATCCCTTTCTGCTATTGGCTCTGATAATGGGTCCGTGACGGAATGCGAAACCTCAGACGAATAAAGCTCTTTTTCCGGCGATCGCAAATGCTTCTGCTGAACAGTTATGTACGTTGGCATAAACTGCGGTGTGTTCTGAACCTGCATATTTACTTTTAATATAATATATCGTTTTCCCCATTATTAAAATTAAGCCTCTACGAATCCGCACACATCATTGCTTTTTATTACCTCCTTTATCAATATGTTCCTCCTGGTTTACTGTTTCTCCTCCCTTTTATCCTCCTCATTCAAAACCTCGCCTTTACTCTCTCTCTTCAAATTTCGTATTTTTCTTTTATTCTGCACATTCACTGCGTTTGCTTATCCACATTCAATGCGACCCCCTCTATTTACAGTACCCGTCTAAATTACGAGGAGGGCGTAGGGTTTATAACATGAAATAGTCACAGAGCCATAAGAATTGGCATACTTTTTGGAAGCAACTATCTGAATTTCCATCACAGAAATCCGAAGAGTAATTGGCGAGCATACGTACATATACTTTCAATAAATTCTCTTCAGGCCATTACATTTATATGGGAGGGGGGTAAAGCGTAAAAGGTGAATTGTAGGAAAATAACGTCCAATGTTACAAGCAAATCAGTCCAAGGGATAGGGGAGTGGGTGGGGTAGTAACAAGCGGCTAATTAAGCGGTAATTAGGGCGAAG